ATTTTAGAACGCCATTTTCCATTGATTTCGAACTAGCTTAGGTTTAAGATTGATTTGCAATTACTCTCGTTCCTCGTGGACCGAACCTTTATTTGCCATTGTACTTGGTTATAGGGTGTTCGTATAAGTATTGTTTGATTGAGAGTTAGATTGTAGCGACCGATTTAACCCTTGTCACTGAGCTACGTAAAACCCAGGCGGAGGGCCTCCATCACCCCCCACATCAGTTGGGGAACTCGCCAAGGCATCCGAAGCTGCAAAAATAGTATGTGATTCCATAACCTCAGCGAACTGTGAATCAAACGGGTGTGACGCGGACGAATCCTGAAAGATTCTGGAATTCCGACGTAGTCACAAACTCCAACGCGTACCAACAAAGGTACCTAAGCGAGTACTCGAAGGCCCATCCTGACTAATAAAAAGTCGGATATAATCTAGGATCCAATATGAGAGAGAAAAGGTCTCCATTAAATTTTGAGCGGATACCAAGGCACCCACCCCTCCAAGCTAATCCTCTGGTTCAGAACGGCAGAGGTGATGGAGCTGAACCTTAACTGCAAGAGCCCAATGTAGCAGTTTCCATAAAAACAACTTCCATTTAGGTTGTAACCGGAGAGACCACAGAACTTTCCAGAAGGAATCAGTATTAGAAGGTATGGAAACAGGAGAAAGTTGCAGTTGAAGCATTGCATAACCTGTTTTCACCGAGTACCTTCCAGATGGAGTGCTTGCCCAGAACCTAAAGTCTTCCCAAGTCGTAATAAATTGAGAAGAATGTATGCAAAATAATTTAATGGAATGTGGTTAAGTATTTGGAGTTGAAAATATTTTGAGATTCTCTAGAAATTTAAAATGAAAATACTCATTATGTTAAAATAATTTGTGCATCATATGCTGGATATTTCAGTAAAAAAATAATAATGTGATGTTGAATATTGTTGATATAAAGTCATTAAATTTCCAACTTATTGCTTGTTTGGTTCACCTTATTTTTGCTTATTTAATCTGGTCTAGTCTGGTCTGATTTGATCTGATTGTCTAAGTTGACTAAACTTTGACCTTAAATGTACGATAACCTATAAGGAAAAAATGTATCAAGTGAGATCTTGTTATCTTCGTAATAATGTGTATTTTATTAATATATAATTTTCACAATTTTTTAATTACAAAAATAAAGTTATTTAGCGATAAAAAAACTATACATAAAACGATGATCTGATATGAACTTATTTTTTCTGATCTGATTTGCTCTGATCTGAACTTATTGTTTTCTGAAATAAGTATACATAAGGTGAACTAAACAAGGCCTTATTCTATGAAATTGAATAAGCAATTGAGTTATCGATAAAAGTTATAAAATTGTTGATATAAGCTATTTAATTGTTGACATAAACATTTGAATCCCTGATATAAGGGCAAGTTCTCATTTACTGAGCTGAGCTGAACTGTTTAAAAGAGAAGGAAATTAGGAACTGAGCTGAACTGAACTGAAATTAAGCTGAATGAAACAGGCCCTGCTATTACATTGTCGATGCTAAGTCATTTTATTATTAGGATTATTTTTTTGTTAAGAAATTTATTTAATTGTTAAATGTGGAAATTATATTAGGACTACCACTAAATATATCATTTGTTCAACTATTTGATTAAAAAAAAAGTGAAAAAATTACACCACCCTTAAATTTTATAACTTTGACTAAGGCCCTGTTCTCATTAGATTATTTTTAGTTCAGTTCAGTTTTATTAAGTTCAATTCAGTTCAGCTCTAATAAGTTCAATTTAGTTCAGTTCAATTTAGCTCTGTTCAGTTCAGTTCAGTTCAATTCAGCTCAGTTCAGTCAATAAAAACAGACTCTACCACTATCCATTTGCATATTCCGGCAAGAATCTGTGCTGAGTGGCGCTCAATTGTTACTCCTATAATAGGTTATAGCCCTCATGTATATTACCAAATAGTATACGAGTATAACTTATATTTCCATTGATTTTAATCCTTGTGTTTTTATATTACTTGCTTAGCAATTGTATATTTTTTTTCCTAAATATTTTTGTTTGTTACTTTTCAAATTTATTTTTCTTATCACTGTCTTATTTTACTCTTTATGTTTTCTCTTGCCTACCTTTCTTTTTTATTTTTTTAAAACAGTTATTTCACCAAATGTCATTGAGTACTTTAAAAATTCACCAAATGCCATCGGATTTTTCAGAATTCACCAAATGCCACCGAGTTTTTAAAAAATTCACCGAGTGCCATTAATAACTCCGTTAGTCATTAAGGCTAATTATGCCACGTGGCATATTCTAATTGGTTCATTTTATTATTATTTTATTTATCAAAAAAATTATAATAATAAAAAAAACTGAACCCCAGCCACTCTTCCCACCACACCACCGCCCCTACGCCAGCCCAACCCCTTGCCTCCACCCCCACCGGCGACCAACATCGTCGGCGGCCACCCTTCCCCCTGACCTTATGCCCCCTACCATCTGCATCCACTCCCCCCTAAACAACCATCCTCGACACCCTAATAAAACCCCAAAAACGAAATCTCCAAAATCGAAAACCAAAATTTGGTTTTCGATTTTAAGCGAGGTGGTTCGGGGGTGGAGATGAGAGGGAAAGGGGTGGTTTGGGTTCGTCGAAGCAGGGAGGGATGAAGTGGAGGGGGTTATGAATTTAGGGAAATCGATATTGGGGTTAAAGGTGTCGAAATCCTAGATTTTGATTTTTGGAGATTTTAATTTAGGGTTCCGGCATGGTGGTTGAAAGGGTGGAGCTTGGAGGGGATGAACTGATTTGAGTTCTCCGGCGTGGGGAGGGGGACTTTGGTCGTCGGCGGTGGTGAGAGGAGGGATTTTCGAGGGAGAAAGAGAGTTTGCGAATCGCGCGAAGGGTCGCTGGGTGCGTTGTCGGCGTGGGCTGGCTACACTGGGTCGCTGACAGCGTGGTTGTTCAAGGCTGGGTCGCCGGCTTGGTTGTTCAGGGCTGGGTCGCCGCCGCGGTGGGGACTGGTTGGAGGCGGGGATATGGTGGTGGCAGTGATAGACGGTGGTCGGGCTTGGTCATGGTGAGTGGTTTTTTTTTAAAAAAAGTTTTTTATTGAGTAATTAATTTTACTAATTTACTAATTTAATAAGCAACCAATCATAAGCCACCACGTGGCATAATTAGCCTTAATGACTAACGGAGTTAACTATTGTTAGTCATTAATGGCACTCGGTGAATTTTTTAAAAACTCGGTGGCATTTGGTGAATTCTGAAAAGTCCGATGGCATTTGGTGAATTTTTAAAATGCTCGGTGTCATTTGGTGAAATAGTCGTTTTCAAAATACATTTGCACTTATGTTGTTTACTTTCCTAAAGAATCCTACTTGTTCTAATTTCTAAAGGCTTTAAATGACAATTTATGTTAGCTGACCCATATCAATTTGAGATTAAGACTTTTTTTTTTTTTTTTATGTTGCATTATACTTCTATAATTAGGTACATGCTACCCTGTTTAGGGTTAAGTACTACAATTTGAATGAAAAAAGTAAAACAAAAAAAAAAAAAAAATTGAATGACATTTGTTTCAATAGACAACTTGAATTTTAAATACTAAAATTTAAAATAGTTGATATGTTGACTTTGCATTGAGATAAGTCTAAAAACACAACATTTGTTTTTAAATTTTAATAAAAAAAAAACAAGACAAAAGTAAAGACATGCAGATTATATAAAGTTACTCCAATTTTTTGTATAACCTATAACGGAAGAAGTAACGTTCAAGTTTTAATTTTCAGGCGCCATTGGATCTTTGGATGTAGATAATGGCTAATATCGCAAACATTCTACCAAACTCTTGACAAAATCACCCTAAAGGCCAAGGGGTTGACTATTTACTGCCAAGGGGTTGACTATTTACTGATTCCACAAACATTATTTACTAGGAATGATTCTTACTACCTCCGTTACATATTATTTGCAACGATTTGACATAAAGTAGAGAGAGAAAATGTCTAATCGTTGCAAATAATATGTAACGGAGGTAGTATATGAATATGAAAAGTTCTCCGGGTGAGTATTCACTAATTCAACAACTCTTATTTATTTACTTTGTATATTTTACGGAGTAATTATGAAAATTAATAGCAGGAGGACAAAACCAATGAAATTAAGGAATTTAAAAAATGGAATAATTTCTTAGATGATAAGTTTTTATTTGCATTTGAGCTACAAATCATTTGACCTATATATATTCACTTATAATAAATCAACATTTAGCTTGCTATTCCTCTGACAATTAAATGAGAGACAAATCGATGGGTCATGCATAGACATCACTTATGTAAATTGACACAAACATTACTTACATAAATTGACACAAACCTCATTATTTCTAAACAAGAATGTTAAGCAAAATTGCAAGGGACTCATTGGCACGGCACGACATATCCTACACGATCTCTTATATACAACCTACCTTAGTACCATATTCATTGACAAGAAGTTCTTTAAACGAATAACAAATTACAACCTATTAGGGCTAAAATTATTCCTTAGTACCATATCTCTTGGCTTGCTAGCGTGGCCCATGCCTATCTCTATACCATGCTCACTTCACCTCATTGTATAATGTATATGCCATTACAATATCTAATTTCATTTTGGGTGTATTAGGCCAAGGGAACGTTGTTAAACGACAAGAGGGCCCACAATAAAAGATGAGAGAATAAAGCTAAGTCATAATATACAATAAACACGTTGTCTTAACGTGCAATTATGTGGGTATCACATCTAATCCGGCCCTCCAAACACCTGTATGCATCTAAACAGGAATCAAACACTAAAAGTAGAAGTAGTTGTTTAATCTAAAAATAAATTCTACTATTTGTTTGAAAAGAAATCCAACACTACTTTTACTTTCAAGACTAACATTCGGTTGTTCAAAGAACTAATCAACTCCCCTAACTTCTTTCCACATCAAAAGAACAATGTTTTATCTACTTCGTTTTTGTTTTTGTATAAGTTTCACCAAATTAATCTTGCATCAAAAGCAAAATTCCTAGAAGACAAAAAAATAGGGCATAGTATTAGGAAAGTGGTACCAAAAAATAATTGGATATAATTATGGCAACAAAATCAACCGTGACACTTTGAGGCTAGGGCCCGTGGTTCCAGTTCATTAGGACACTTCTCTCGATAACATATTACTAGTATAAGAAAAGGTATTATGAAAGTAAAGAGAAAAAATGAGGATTTATGAATTATTCACATTTCATCTCCACACAATCAACAATCAATGATGTTGAATGTAAGTACAAAAACATTGGAATAAAAAATTACAAGTGAAAAAGAAAAGATAAATGGTTCCTGAAAATAAACAAAATTAATGGAAAAAAAAAAAAGAATTTTAAAAAATAAAAAAAATAAAAAATGAAAAAAAGAAGAGAAAAGTAAGTACACAAAGAGCGTTGATGGGGGGAATGAATCTCAATCAAACAAGGAGAGTTTTAAGAATAAACAAACAATTTTGAATATTTCTATAATTGAGGTAAACAATTGTAAGAATTGATAGTGTTTGTTATCAATTGATGTTGCTGGATGGATGGATGTGCGCACCTGACACGGATTGTATAGGGAGGATTAGCTTGGTTTGGTAGGTGTGTTTTCTGGATCACTAATGATGTCTGCAAGTGGGTCTTGTCCGGACGATAATGTAGATTGGCAAATTTCCTCAATGCGGCTGGTTACATCACCTATTGATGGTCGACTGTCTGGGTATTGGGCACAACAGTCAATTGCGAGCTGCAAGAGTTTAACCATCTCCTCCTCGACATTCTGATATCTAAGGAGCTCCATGTCAAAGACTTCAGCAGCCCACTCTTCCCGAACAACTGACTGCACCCACCGTGGCAAGTCCACCCCTTCTTCGTTCAAGAGAGCATGGGTAGGAGCCTTGCCTGTAAGCAACTCCAGGAGGAATATACCAAAACTGTACACATCGGCCTTCTGAGATACCCTACGAGGATCAGTGATCTCTGGTGCACGATATCCAGCTACACGATTTGGAGTTGCACTTGGACTTGCAAGTTGTGCAAGGCCACTATCTGACACTCGAGCTTCATAAGAGTTGGTAAGAAGGATGTTAGATGACTTTATGTTACCATGGGAAGCTGTGGGGTTCTGTGAATGGACGTAAGTAATGCCACGAGCAGCTCCTAGAGCAATTGCAGAGCGAGTTTCCCAGTTTAACGGTGTCCTCCCACCTCCTCTGTTACCTATTGAAAAGAGAGGAAAAAAAAAAATCAAAATTTTCTGTTATTTTCTGTTGTTAACCTTATTTACATTTACTGTAAACAAGCAAATCTTCTGCAAGAGCTTTCAATATACATACAAATCTACATTGTCAACATCAAAATCCTCAAACAATGCAAGTAGCTATTCATGATTGTGAAATTAAGAAGTAAGTGGGGCACATGTTATTAAACGGATCTTTTGTTGTAGGCTACAAACTACGACACATCAGAAACGAAATAACTTAAAAAAACAACAGCTAACGAGTAGCATCAAATGCCAAATCATCAGTTGCGACATTAAACTTCATGTTAACGATATACCACACAATTAGTGTACAATTATGATTTGGTGAGGGTTAGATGATAAAAGTTTAAGTAGAAACCCCAAAACACAACATACCCAATACACAATACACTATTTTCCAGGCATGAACTTGATGTAGAACCAACTTCATAGACACCCACTAACTAAATTAGCAAAGAACATCAACACCAAAAAACTTAAGCAACAAGATTACTCCCTAGATAAGAATACGCGCTTGATCATTGACCAGATCTCAAATCCGAGATTGTATATAATATGGACTCAGCACATAAAAACACTTATAAACACTTATCATGACTCAAAACGCAAGCAAGCACTTTTAGTAATTATAACAAGATTACCAATAATCAATGTAGTTGTCTCAAACCAGCAAGGATTTTTTACTCCTAGCCATGTATGTATCGAACTTCTAAACACCTCAAAATGTTTATATTGTTTCTAACATACTTAGATCCAATAAGAACTGCGGTGCATAGTATACAACAGAAAAAGATCCAGAAATCATGAGCAAATGCATAATCATCATGATTCATGAAAGCAATAAAAAGTTCACAATAGACCTAATAATTCATTCAATCAACCAAAAGCAAACAACAATACTAAACAAAAATCTACAAAAATTGAAACACATGAAAATAATAGTAGTTTCTTACCATGTAATAGAGCAGACAAACTGCCCATTGGGAAGTAATCATAAACTAGAAGCTTCTCATTAGCACTACAATGGTAAGCTCTAAGACCCACCAAATTCTCATGTTCTAATCTTCCAATCTCCTCGAGTTTCTCTCTATATTCTTTCTCCGTCACTGTCACATCCTTCAATCGCTTCACAGCCACCGCCACCCCGTTATCCAAAGACGCCTTGTAAGTCGTCCCGTAGTTGCCTTTCCCCAATACCTCAGCCGACGCCCTCAACAAATCATCCAGATCGAACACTCTAGGCCCATTACCGAAAAACACCAATGTCTTGTCCACACCACCTCCACTCTTAGCACTGGATTTAGCAGCAGCAGCTGCAGCAGCCGCGGCCACAGCACCTGAGCTCTCACCGTCCCTCTCAGCAGCTCCCTCCGCTGCCCCTGACTCCACATCAGATTGCTTAGCACCACCACCACCACCACCACCAGCACCAGCCGCAGCAACTGCATCCACAGACCTTGTACCAGGCTGTTGCTCAGTCTTTTTGTTTTTTCTACAGCAGCAGAAGAAAATTAGTAGCAGAATCACCAGCAATGCGATCACACAACCAATCACAATCCCCGCGATCGCCCCAGCAGACAACTTTTTCTTCTTCTTCTTCTCCCCACCATCACCATTTCCACTATCATTCGGGTTGGCGGAAGGTGCAGTAGCAGCACAAGCCGTCAGCGAATTCCCTTCAAACGCCGTCGACGGCATCCCGCAAAACTGCGAAGGGATACTCCCAGTTAACAAATTATGAGACACATTAAACTGCTTAAGATTACCAATCTTCAAATCTGGAATCGAACCCGTCAATTGATTACTCTGTAAATACAATGTAGCTAAATTAGTCAGATTATTAAACCCTAAAGAGATCCCACCGGAAAATCTATTCCCGGCCAAATCAAGCCGGAACAAATTCTTCATCGAGAACAAAACCGCCGGAATCTCGCCGGAAAGATTATTATGCTGGAGATAAAGATACCGAAGCTGCGACAACGAAGAGAAATCATTCGGAATATTCCCGGACAACGCATTATACCTCAGAGATAAAAAATTAAGCGAAGCAAGATTCCCCAAAACATTATTCGGTATCCGACCTATTAATCCGACCCCGGGCAAGTGTAGCTCGACAACACGACCGTTTGTATTACATACTACGCCTTGCCATTGGCAGGCGTTGGAAGCAGAGGTGTTCCAGCGGCCGGGGAGGGCGGCTTTGAGAGCGGACAATGCGCGGGAGTCGGAGGGGTTGGCGTCGGCGGGGGTTGCGGAGGGGAGGAGGGAGAGAGCGAAGGTGATGGCAAGTAATACGACTAGTAAGGGTGGTTGTGGTCGGAGTTTGGTGGTTGACTTCATTGTTGTTGGAGAAGAGGAGGAGATCGGAGAGAGTGAAAGAGAGAGTTTTGTGTTTGGGTTTGGGTTTGGGTTTTGGTTTAATTGTTGGAAACGGTAATACGTTGCATTTTTCCACACGGAGAGAAGGAGAGAGAAAGAGAGGGGACAGTGTGTATAGACAGACTATAGAGAGTATAGATTATAGAAAGTGTGGAAGGAGAGATTGGAGATGAAGATTGGTTTAAGTGGGGTTACCGAGTTAATTAAAAACTACGGACTAACTGCTGTGTACTTATTAGTTATATTTATTGTATTTAATATTTTTGTTTAAGATTTGCGTTATACTTCTTTCGTTTTATAAATATTGTACCGTAAGTTCTTAACATGGGTCCTTATCTTTATTTTATTCCTTTCATCTTAAAATACTCCTTCAATCCCTTATTGATAATTCCTTATGAGCAATTTTCACAGGAATTTATAAAAATAAACGAATAAGTAGTAATTTAAGTACATTGGAAAGATTAATTTACATTGGATATACAAAAAAAAGTTATGAGAGATAGTAATAAAAGTAAATAGAAAAACAAAATTTACATGGGAAATTTAAATTTGCAAAACTATCATTGTAAATTGGAGATAATTTTGATAAAAAAAATTAATATAAATAGTTGTTGGAAAATACAAATGGAGTGAAACATTTTGTAACTAAAATTTAGCCATAAAGGACTATCAATAATGGACAAAGGGAGTATTATTAATTTTTATTTATTTATTTTTTTTTTATTTTTTTTTTGCAAAGTATTATAAACAAACTATAAGGCCTTGTTCACTTCAACTTATTTTTGCTGAATTGAAATTATTTTTACTGGATTGAAAATTTTTACTGAACTTAAACTAATTTTTCTGAACAAAAATTATTTTTTCTGAATTGAGTTTTTTTTTATTGATTCTCTATTATATTTTTTCTTTAAATTTACTAATTTTACTGAACTAAACTTATTTAATTTTAGTGAACTGAAATTATTTTTACAAAATATTATTTTTTTTAAGGTGAAGTAAAGAGGAACACTCACATACTATATAATTAATAATTGTAAAAGTTGTATACAGTTTTTTTTATTTTTATAATCAAATGAAAATAAATAAATAAAAAATATCAAATCTTTAAATTCGATTGTCTTTCTTAATTTTCAAGATTTGATCTAATTGCCTACACTAATTTATTTTTGTAAGTATGTCAACAATATCAATAAATAAATCTTTTTATGATATTGTCAAGATCTACAAATTGATAAATTTTTAATTCCCTAATTTTCTTTTCTCAAATAAATAAATAGATAAAGGAAATACCATTTGTAATTTTTTTTTTTTGAAACAAATCAATTCATTAATAAAAAGCCATCCGGCATCTACAAATGAAATCTAAATTAACAAATACATAAAATTGAATCAAATTAGGTTTTCCTTCATCAAAGCTATGATCGTTGAAAAGATCTTGCATTGTGGTACATCTCTCGCACACATCGCTGGAATATACAGCCTTTTCGGAGAGACGGTCTAACGGTTTGTTGTAGCTATAAGGATGATTCTCATCTGATTCGCCTGAACGCATTTGAAAATTTGATAACCGTTGTGATCCCGAACAAATCTTTACCAAGGTAAAAGATGATTACTTTTTTGATGAACCCTAACACAAAAACAAACCCTAAACAAAAACAAACAACTAAACTAACGAAAACTAACGACTCCGCCATAGGGAGACACTCCACCATAGGGAGACAGACGAATATCTACACTACTTGTGTAGATTTATTGAAATTCAAATTGCAAAACTAAATAATTTAAAGGAAAAGGGTTGAAAATAGTCTAATTTTCGAAGAAATTAGACTATTTCCGGTCTAAACGGCCAAGATTTTGGAGAAACCCTAGAAGAGAGGAGGAGAGGAGATGAGATGAGAGGAAATGAGAGTATTAAAGTTTCCTAAAACAATTACCATTTGTAAAACTGTGTAATGCATAACTTCATGTATTGCTATGTTTGTATCCCTCTCACATCTCTTATATTGTTTTTTAGAAAAAAAATTATTGTTTGATTTGTGGGATTATGGGCTGGAAATGAGATTATGAAAACCCAATCTCCATAAACCAATGTTTGATTGATGGGAATTACATTAAAAAAATGGGAATGGGCGTTGTTCGGTGGAAATGATCAGATCAAAGAGTGAGAATTCTCAAGTTTAGGGCCTGTTCATATTTACTGAACTGATTTGAAAGGAACTGAAATTAAGCTGAAGTGATCAGGTCCTTAGTAAAGACGCATACTTTGTACTTCCAATATGTAATGGTAAGGGTAAAACTAGTTTAGAATTCTCAAGGTTCTTAGAGATTGAGTTGTTCCTACGCACTGGTTTGGTTAGTTGGTCCGTTTGGTTAGCTGGGTGTGCTCGTCATCGTCAGTTCCTTAGTTGGTCCTTTTAATTTACGTGTTTGTTCGTTTATAGTTTGTTTGTTTTGTTCTTTTTAGTGATCTTTGTAAAAAAAAAAATAATAAAAAAAAAGGGTAAAACTAGGAGTAATTTTTAAAATTTTTTATTTTGAAGTCCAAAAACTAGTAAATTTTAATTTGAAAAAATCAATTAGTTAATAAAAAAATACGACATCTAAAATCAAGGGATATTAAATGATCCACCACCAATTCTCATTCTCACTTACACCCTCTATTCCCCAAATTTTTATTCCTCCATGCTAAGCGACTTAGGGTATGTTTTGATTTGCTGAATTGAACTAATTGAAGCTGAAATGAACTGAATAGGGCTAAAATGAATTATTTACGAGAGAGATAAATTTTAACTAAACTGAAATGAACTGAACTGATTTGAACTAAATTGAACTGAACTAAACTGAAATTAAGCTGAAGAGAATAGACCCCTAGTAGAATTTCAATTTTTTTAATCATTTTATCGTTTAGGCCGAAAACAATTTAATTTTCACAAACTCTTAATAACATCCGGTTTACACTAAATTAGTGTAAATCGGGCTGGCTGGGCAACTTCATCACCGAGAAAAACACCCACCACCATCGCCACTCCCTTAGCTTTTCCCAAGAATCCGGCGTCCCCCTCCGATTTCGACCTTGCTGACCACCCCAATCCCCCGATTCCAGTGTCGCTGACCTCCCCCCATCCCCCGATTTGTCGAGTTTGAAGTCCGGGATTACAACAACTCCGAATACCTCGACCCCAATTGCATATCCCTTATTGTGGGTATCTAGTATTTCACCTCATCTACTTTGATGGTGGCAAACATGGGGCGGTGGATACTCTGTTTTGGGTTAACTTTTGTAAAAAAAAAAAGGTTACTTTTATGAAAAAAAAGGGTCACTTTTGTGAAAAAAAGGGTCACTTTTGTAAAAAAAAAAAAAAAGGTAACTTTTGTGAAAATATGGGTCACTTTTGTAATAAAAAGGATCACTTTTGTAAAGAAAAAACGTCACTTTTATAAAGAGAAAGGGTCATTTTTCGCAAAAATGTTCGATGTACAATAAAATTATTATAAACCGGGGGCATGCAAAAGGAGTTGTTTAATTTTCTTTTCTTCATATATATATATGTTCACGCATATTGTATATGTTCAGTCATGGTGGAGAGTTCCCCCAAGGGCCCAAGGCCCCAACCCATATAATGCATTAATATTATGCAATTGTTAAAAACTTTACAAAATACATTAGTCACCTACTCCGTATTAATTATCATCAGCTTATGTTTTGGGATTTTACAGTTGTGAAATTAGGGACAGGGAGTAATGAATTTTTATTACTAGTACATGTATTTCAGGTCCTTAAGTCCTTTTGAAACGGAGGATTAAAAAATGAAAAAAAAATAAATAAAGTATAATTAAAAAAAGTTAATGGGGTTAGAAGATTAGTTGTTTGATCGCTGGTCAGTGGTCATTGTCTTCTGATTAAAAACAATACTTTTTCTTTTCCTTTTTTCTCTTCTTTTTTCTTTATCGAATATGTAAACTGGCCTAAGTTAAATTTCTTTCTCATTTAGGTTTTGTTTTTAGTGATTGACTGATTGATACTGCACTAACTTGTGGCGATACTGAAAACGAGGAACACAATTCTTTATCTTTTTCAGGGGTTTTTAAGGATTGGAACATGAATCCAGTTAAAATTGCTTTTTTTTGGTCTTGGTCATTATGGTCAATCTGTGATAAATTTACATTGGGCTTGATTGATGTAATATGGAGTAATTCTCATACATTTTTTTTTTTTTTACAAAAGAAACTAACAAAACATTAAAAAACATTAAACAATAACTCCCTGCAACGAGCTGCAACAGCTAGAGAATGCGCCTCATCTACTGAAGATCTAGAAACCTTGTAAATGGAGCAGGCCACAAAAGAGGACAAAATACACCGGATTTCATCGACAATCCAGGTAACCAAGATTTCCACCGTACTCGAAGCCGACAGCAACTGAATCATAGCTAAATAGTCACTGAAAATTCTAACCTTAGTGAACCCTTTTTGACGAACATGTTGAAGACCCCAGAGACAAGCTAACAATTCAGAATGAAGAGCAGAACTAGCCATACAAGCCCTAGCCCCACCCCCCAAAACCTGGGACGAAATAGGATCCTGAAAACACCAACCAGCCCCCGCACAGGAAGAACCTGAATCCCAAGCACCATCACAAAAGAACAAGACATCATATATCTCCGAGGGAGCACCCTGCAAAATAAAAGCCCGAGGACAAGGGGAAAAACCAGGAGGAGAGGAGACCAAGACATTGTCCAGTTGGCGAGCTTTTTCGCTTAGAGTGCTCCAGGACGAGGCTAAATCAATAATAGTATACGGAGAATACACTTCTAAGCGGAATCTGGCCCCATTCCTAGTAAGCCAAATCGCCCAGCAAAGGCCAAAGAGCTTATCTAAATAAGTCCAGTTTTTAGAAGCAGCAGACTGCATAATAGTCCCTGCAAACCAAGACTGAAAAGGGATGTAATCGACAGGAACCGGAAGAGAGCCCCAGGGAACCATACCCCAAATCAACTGAATAAACTGACAACCACGGAAAATATGAGCAACAAATTCAGATGCACAGCCACAGAAAATGCAAGTAGGGTCAATAGGTAGCCCCTTTAACACAAGTGAAGACGCAGTTGGGAGAGCATTATGTAAAATCTTCCAAACATGGAAACCATGATTATTTTATATATTCAGAGGTGTCAAAAACTGATTCGATTGATCTATTTTGAAAGTTTTTTATTTACTTTGTTTTTATTGATATGAATACAATAATTCAGCAAAATTCACATTTGGAATAAACCTGACCTGATGCGACCTCACCAAACCAACCCGAACACTCGAATTGACACTACCTCTACTCATAGTTTCAATTGATAAAATTAAAACTACGTAAAATAATATTGATAGAAAAATTCTTTAGTGCTCGATTGGTCAACATGAAAATTAATTTCATGGAAAATAGTTTCCTTCACACAATTTTTTGAAATGGCCCTAAGTTATTTGGTTCTTCAAAAAAAAAATTGCAATTCATAAGAATTTTGAGTGACCAAGCAAGAGGTGGGTAATTAATTTCTCATATAATAATAAATTTTTAATTCCATAAATATACAATCTCTCCACTTTTGTCCATTTTCACCTTTTGTTGTCCAGGCCCATGTCCTGACACTTTCATGACAAGCCTTGCTATTTTCAATTTCATGTTAAGTCATATTATGTCACATAGACTTATCTAGTCTCTAGCTAATTCTCATCTTTAGTGTATATTAGCTTATTAAGTACTTATTAATAAACTTGCAAGTTTATAATGAACAACGATAAAATTAATATTCGGCTATCTATTAGAAATATTTTGTGTGGCATAATTACATTAAGAAATATTATATATGACATAATTTACGTGACGTATATTTATTTCTCAAAAATTTCACACATACATTATATTCCCTACTCCATCATACACACCAATATCAAATCTTTAGTATCTTCCGCAACACCAATATGGCGAATATCCAACACCTACCAACTCATAATAAAGTTATGAACTTATAATTGCAAGAGGCTCGACGGCTTATGCACCATTTTTTGTCCAAGTATCTTAATAAGATACAGTCACACATTAAACCATTAGGTTCAACTTTACACCAATAAACAATTACATCGTACACTCACCAACATAAATAATTCTAATAGTATAATAGATTGATAAATCCCATAAAATAAAAAATTTGAATATATATATTTTTTTTATATGTTGTTGATTTGCGAAAGTTCCTCACAAAAGCGATACACATCTTCGTATCCACCGCCAAGAGCCAGCAAGCTATTTAAGTGCAGTAGCTGGTCCATTATTATGTGTTTATTTTATGTACATATTTCAATCATTTTTTTATGATATAACAATAATATTATACGTACAATTTGTATAAGTTTCTCGAATGTATAATAAGTAAATAATATAATTGAATGATACAGAACAAATTTTAAGAAAACATTATGGTATTCAAGATACCAAATGGATTGTTTAATTCCTATTGTGTAGGCTTAGTTGACGTTAATCGTGTCTTAAGAGTAGGGTGAGTATTGAGTAAGTAACAAGTTTCTAAGACATTGCCAAAATGACAAAACTTTTTACCAATGTAGCAAAGACAATTATATCATGATATCTTAGGTAGAAATTTGGACATTGACTTACTGGCCTATAAAAAAGGCTATATTAGAAGAGACTAGGAGAGTTTGGTGTAACACTTAGCCGAGGAAGGTGGTGGACCAGCACACAAATTTAATGAATATTAAATGTTTTTGGTGGGCCCCTATCTTGTATTTGTGTGTATTTTGTACGTATAAACTTGTATGCCCCAAGTGTATACATAGTTGGCACCAATTTAGTCCGTTATTTTGCAAATGGGGTTGATTTAATTCATCCAGAGACATAGATGAGAATCTAGGGTTCTTCATCTCATCTTCATCTGTTGAATCCTCATCTTCTCTCAGCCCCCATTGTCATCTTCATTTTCTCGTTGAGTCCTCATCTTCTTCAGCCCCCATTACTCATTTGTTGTGTGAATAATAAAGGGTTTTTGGGGTTCAAGATGAGGGGATAAATTGAATAACTGGGGTAAAAGCGCGTCAATTGTGAGCGGATTTAGCAATGCGGACATCAATGGAGCTGATTGTTGCTATTATAACTTAGTTGGTTGGAATTAGGTATGTTAACTGACTCTGTTCTTGGGATTGATTTGATTATTGGATTTGTGCATTTTTGGAATTGGGGTTTGGTCTGGAACATATATTTGTTAATCTAGCATGTTTCACACATCACAATATTAATTATCACAAATGACAAAACTTTTGATGACTGTGGACAATGTTGTTTATTGCTAAAATTATTGGTTAGCTAAAATTATAGGTTAGGTTAGGTAATTAATTGTACACACAAATTCTATTAAAGTTTGAAATAAAACAATACTTCCTCCGTTCTTTTTACTTGACCCGCTTTGACTTTTACACTATTCACCAACCCACCTTTAACTGTCTTTTGTGAATTATAGGTAAAGAAAAACATATTCATGTAGGATCTTGTTAGAATCGTCTAAATAAGTACTATCACAATATATAACTTTTATAATTTTTTACTTATAGAGTATTAAAATTATTGATGGTTAAACTTGTGCATTGGCCAGCGTGATAAAAGAAACAAGTCAAGTAAAAAAGAACAGAGGAAGTATTATTTATGACAGTAGACAATATTCTTTAGCTAAAATTATTGATGCTTAGCTAAAATTATAGGTTAGGTAGTTGGCATTAATTGTACAATATAATACATTGAAATCTCATGAAAGTTTGAAATAAGAGTAGGATTGATTTAAAAACATACTGGCTTTTTCTGATGTCATCTGATAGAGTACTTGTTATATAGATTAATTGTTAAAGATTGATTGTTTGTTACACATGTTGTTAACTTATGGTAAAATAATTTATTGAAGGTTGAGGTAGTGATGTTAAGTTCAGAGGTTGCAGAAGATGTTTGTGTTTCATTGTCTCATAGTGATGAAGGTGTTGCAATGGATTTGATAAACTTTGAGGAAGGGGCTGGTGTTGATATTGTTGAATTATGTCCATATGAAGATGGAGTGGGGATGGATAGTGTTGGAGGTGATGGAGGTAATATGGTGAATCTTAACATAATTAAAATAGACCCCCCACCAGAAGTGGGAATGATATTTGATTCATGGGAAAAAGCTAATATGTACTATAATGCATTTGGCAAGCAGGAAGGGTTTGGTGTGGTTCTTGGCCAAAGTGCATACAAAACTCTAAAAGATGGTCGCAAGGTTAAAAGTGCTGTTACATGGAAATGTGAGTGTGTAGGTTTTCCAGACACCCGAAGGAGGGTTGGTGGGAAAAGATTATCTAAGGAGTTGGAAGGGGAGCCGGTTGCAACAAAGAAGTCGAAAAAATGTGGTTGCGAAGCCGGGATGTATGCTTGTTTAAGGGATCATGGTAAGTGGGAGATAGTAAGAGTGGAGTTGAAGCATAAACCCCATCAAGTATCACCTTCAAAATCATTGCTAGTGACAAAATACAGGTTGAAGGAGTTGGAAAAGATGTCGTATGTGAGGCGTAAACTGCATTTTAGAGACGATATGGTGCTCCCCGCTGCTACTATGCACAAGTGGTTGGCTTGTGAGAGGAATGGGGTTGAGAATATGCCCTTTACTAAGAAGGATGTGAATAATTTGATGTCAAGGGTGAAGAAGCTAAAATTGAAGGATGGGGACAGCAATGCTATGATGAATTATTTCCTAATGATGCAAAAGAATAATAAAAACTTCTACCGCATACATCGTTTGGATGCAAATGGGGTATTGCAAGATGTGTTTTGGGTTGATGCGCGTAGCAGAGCTGCATATGAGGATTTCGGTGATGTAGTGTGCTTTGATACGACTTTTTTGTTGAATAAGTACGACTTGCCCTTTGCAAATATCGTTGGAGTAATTCACCATGGATAAACAATATAACTTGGATACGCTCTCATATCCCACGAGGACACTGAAACTTTTACGTATGTATTATTTTGATATGGTTTATTTTTGGTTATGTTGATCTTGATTAGCTTGTTTTTTAGTCTCTTAATCTCTGAACTAATTGAATTGACGTAACCATGTTAATATTTTTTTCATATCTGTAGACACCCATTTGTGTCTCCCCAAAACCAAACCCAGTGATGAGTACCTTTCACGTCGAATCATAATCGAATGAAGCGAAAGTGTGGAAAGTCTAGTGTTGCGGATAGTTTTAATTTCTTTTCTCTTCTCTCTGTTTTTGAAAACTTATTTTAAGAAAACAGACAATCCAGTTTGGTTGGTCCATGATATGGGTCCAATAGTAGTGTAGTTGGATGGGGCTTGACTAGAACTTTCCAACGATATATTATAAGCCCAATTCCGATGAATATTGAGGAAATTATGGCCAATTTACTAAACTGGGCCCGGTTTGAGCTTTATATGCGGCCCAATTATCTAAGGGAGGGCCTAATATGATTTATCATTCCTAATGCAATTAGGAATGATTTTAGTCTTCTAGATTCTTCTAGAAGGTTCTTCTCATTCCTAATTCAATTATCATTGATAAATTGACTTTTGTTGACTTTTCAGAGTTTTAATTAAAATCAAATAGCATTTTCGAGGAAATTATATGATTTTATCCTCCAGTACGGCAAACTTATCTGATTTTCGAAAACGCGTTAAAAACAGTCTTGGCGCCTGTAGGGAATATTTCAAGCATTAAACCCCTAGCTCGAATCCCACTGTGATCATACACTAAAGTACGGTGGCCTCCAAAAGGGAAGAAGATAGAGCAAAAGAGTTGCCAACAAGTTTTAGGAACTTGTAAACCGTTCACGAGGTGAAGGTTACACCCCTTAACGATCCAAGAGATCGTCAACTCCATAAGGTCTTGAACCAAATAAGGGTTCGGGGATGAAGGTACAAATCCAACCTAAAAGAGATTGAACCTGCCCTAATAATAGGCCTCTACTTTATTCTGATCGTATTCATGTGTGCTTTCTAATTAACATGCAATCATTAGGTTTACCCCTAAACCTGTTTATCTATGTTGGTTATTAGGTTTACCCCTAAACCTGTTTATCTATGTTGGTTGAATTTAATGCACAAATAAATCTATTATTGGCGATCACTTGAATTATAATCACAATTAACCCTAACAAGATTATTAATTATCTTATTAAGCGTGATGACAAGTACCAATTTCCTTTAAACATGCAATGAAGGCGTGATCAAGCAATAACAATAAATATCAAGCAACATAATAAATAATCGAGCATTACATGAATAATAATGATCATCATCAAAATAATAATAATAATAATAATAATAATAATAATAATAATAATAATAATAATAATAATAATATTCATAATCATCAACAATTATAACAATTATAATAATTATCATGTTCATGTTAATATTAAAGCACAATAGTAATAGCAAGATCCTAGGCATGATACTAACAAGATTAATAACAAACCCTAGCATGTCACTAAGCAATAAAAATCAAATCTTTAACCCTAACATGATACTAACAATCATAAATATTAGGGAGAAAATAGGAAGCATCGTAACAATCATATTTAATATTAAAATTACCCTAGACAAGATACTAGGAATATCATAATAACAATATAAATATGATTTCTACATCATAACATCAATAAATCAATTAAAGTACTTACGTTGATGCCTCGTACCTCTTTCTAATAACAAAATACACACGTTATAAACTTCAAGGAAAATAATAATCAAAACAATTAAATTAAATAATTGAAAGAGAGATTTAGGACCAAACCCTCAGAAATTAAACCTTTCACGTCTAGGGCGAATGCAACTTCGAATATGGCTAGGTGTTTCTAGATCTTGCGAATGCGGAATTTTGTATGTGAAAACAAAGTTTGAAGAATATGGAATTTTGTATTTTAATTCCTGAATTTATTTCGACAATGATTTAGAATGAGTGGATGAGACTCGAAAAGTTCTAAGTATTTCATGTGCGTAATTTTGATTAACATTATTGTCATATGCATAAAAAAAGATCTCATTGGAAAGACCATCCGTAATGAGTTAAAAACATAGGATTTTACACGTAGGAAATTTGAGAAATATCTTTCACAACTAGGACCGAAATAACACCGCGCAAAACTGGAAAATTTTATCGAGCACTGAAAGCTGCTGAGGCATGTGGGAAGTAGCGTCAGGGGCCAGAGCTTGGCGCCAACATTTTAGTCGTAGCGCTAGACGCCAGTATTGGCGCCAGGCGCTACAGTTAAAAGCTGGCGCCAGTCTCTGTTTGCTGGCGCCAATTTCCCCCAATACCGAGCCAGAAATATGCATTCTAATTTCGACCAGTTTTTCGTATTGTTTGCTCGATCCTACTTCTTGATTGAATTTTTTCTCACTTTTTTTAAACCCATATGTGTTCTACATATGGACATAACCCTCTGGGAATTCATGCTCCATCTACCTGATTGAACGCTCCGTGCAACAAAGGGTACATCCGAGAATGTTGAATTCACCAAACCATGGAAGCGAGTTTTTTTTTTCTAAAACTCGCGGTGTCCCATCCACTCGCGCCTAAAACACTTGCTCATTGCAATCGGTTCAAAAGCAAGCACTTAAACGACAATATTTCCAAATATGGATTTTCGCGCATCCTTATTAAACGACAAAGTTTTCCAAAAATTGGATTGTCATCCCCAACTGACAATATTTCCAAAAATGGATTGACGTGCATCTTCTTCAACGACAATTTTTCCAAGATTGGATTGTCATCTCTGGCAAAGTTTCCAAGCGTGGATTGTCGTGCTCCTTCTTTGTTTGGCAAGTTTTTCCAAGTTCGGATTGTCATACATTCATTGACTTATTGTCAAGTTTTCCGAGATTGGATTGTCATATACCCAGTTTCTTATGGCAAAATTTCCCAAAGGATTGTTATAGGTTTCTATTCATCATAAATATCGGCAAAAGTTCCTCAACGTGGATTTTCATTCATTTCAGCAACTGGCAAATTTTCACGAAGTGGATTTTCGGTCAACTCTTTTTTGCAAATGTTCCAAGACGCGGATTGTCAATAGTGGCAATATTTTCCCAAAAGGATTGTCGCATAGCGTTGGCAAATTTCCAAGGTGGATTTCTTTCAAGAGTTATATTCCAAGATGTGGATTGTCAATCGTAGCAAAGTTCTTATGAAAGATTGTTACGAAGCATTTGCTACTTTTTCCCAAAATTTGATTTTGGCAAATTTTCCGAGATACGGATTGTCGCTTCATCGTGGCAACATTTCCAAGGATGGAGTGTTACGTGGCATTGACAACTTTCCCTAAATCGGATTGTCATACATCACACAAGATTTGTGTTGGCAACTATTCCCAAATAAAAGAGGATTGTCAACATACTGGTTCACAAGCAGCAAAGAGCCGACGTACTGGCATAGTAGCATTAAGGATTAAAAAGCAGTGATCTTTTCGAAGACTATCACAGCGGAAATTGGAACATATCCAAAAGAAGCTCTTTGTTCAGAGACAAGTGAACATCGAAACAGTAAGGTGGCGTTCCCTAGATTGTGGAGAGTTGTCACAAACAACTGAGGATTGTTTCAAGAGAATAAATCTTCGATAGTGTTCCCATAGACGTGGAATATTATCATAGCGGAGGAGGATCATTTCAGGCGAAGCAATCATCTATAGGAAGCAGTTACGGGCGTAGCGGTTTTCAAGCGGGATGATATTTTCTAGCTTGCAGGAGGTTATCAAAACAATCGGTTACTTTCAGAGACGTGTGCTCCACGGTGCAAGATACGCGTTTCTTAACTCTTTCTGTTTAACTAACGCTAGTTTTGCAGGTATCGGCGTTACAAGAGTGATTTAGGATCGCAGAACGTTCTGAATCATTCTCCGTCCCTATCGCTACTTTGACTTTTGTTTTCAAAATTTGCGTTTCTCCGAACTCAGTCAAAGTGGGGGCTTCTGTAGACACCCATTTGTGTCTCCCCAAAACCAAACCCAATGATGAGTACCTTTCACGTCGAATCATAATCGAATGAAGTGAAAGTGTGGAAAGTCTAGTGTTGCGGATAGTTTTAATTTCTTTTCTCTTCTCTCTGTTTTTGAAAACGTATTTTAAGAAAACAGAAAATCCAGTTTGGTTGGTCCATGATATGGGTCCAATATTAGTGTAGTTTGATGGGGCTTGACAAGAGCTTTCCAACGATATATTATAAGCCCAATTCCGATGAATATCGAGGAAATTATGGCCAATTTACTAAATTGGGCCCGGTTTGAGCTTTATATGCGGCCCAATGATCTAGGGGAGGGCCTAATATGATTTATCATTCCTAATGCAATTAGGAATGGTTTTAGTCTTCTAGATTCTTCTAGAAGGTTCTTCTCATTCCTTATTCAATTAGCATTGATAAATTGACTTTTGTTGACTTTTGAGAGTTTTAATTAAAATCAAATAGCATTTTCGAGGAAATTATATGATTTTATCCTCCAGTACGGCAAACTTATCTGATTTTCAAAAACGCGTTAAAAACAGGCTTGGCGCCTGACTCCAGGCATTGGCGCCTGGCGCCAGCCATTGGCGCCTGGCGCTAGTGTTGGTGCCTGGCGCTAGTTAGCCAGGGTTGTGGCCAGCTCTGTTTTTCGTGCGCCAGACTCTGTTTTGTTTATTTTATCTTTTTGGCTGATTTTCTCTATAAATAACGTATTAAAAACTCCGTTTTCATTCACCAGTTCTCATCAACAGTCAGTTTTAATTAACATTCTTCTACAATCAGTTTTCATTTGCAATCATTTATTCTCTCATTCTCTTAATCATTTATCTTTCTTTCTTTCTCTAAACCTTGTTTTCACATACAAAATTCCGCATTCGCAAGATCTAGAAACACCTAGCCATATTCGAAGTTGCCTTCGCTCTAGACGTGAAAGGTTTAATTT